CATTCTCCGTGGAATCACTCACACACCACAGCAATGCGGTGCTACCAAAGGAGTTAGAGATGTTCCTTTAAAATCATGCACAAATCCACAGAAGGACTAAGAATTCACACCCAAATGACACCACCAGGGACACTGGGTGGCCTAAACCCTTGTGCTCGCTCACTGTGACCATCAAAGACATTTGAAGAGCACTGAAATCTCACACACTTCCCACGCCGGCTGTCAGTTTCTTTCTCGATGATCTCAGAGCCCCACAGTGTATATTAGTCATCAGCAGAGCAGAACTGGAGTTTAACTCTTGATGGCGCAAAAGGAAATGGCTCTTCAAAATGGATTTCAGAAAACAAGGGAATACTGGATGTAGGAAGTCTGGTGCCAGGTCCCCAATTTCCCCACTGTCAAGGCCAGAGCTGTGAGCATTGTTCAAAGAAACATCAGTCAGCCAGCAACATGCTTTGGGTTTTACTCAGCAGGATACCACCCTCCCCCCAGCTTTTCTGAGGTGTTTTGTTTTGAGTTTTAAGGTAAACATTTACCATCCAGGCTTCAAGAGGCTTCCTCATGAAATCATTATTTGTTAGTTTTAATGGGTGAACTCATTACCAGTTCAACTGGACAATAATAAAGCCCCAAATTAACTGGAAGTATAGTTAAAATATAATAGAATTTTACTGAAAGCTGCAGCATGAGCTGTTTAATGTGACTGAGCCCGGCGAGAACTGGGGTGCCCTGACCCCAGCGTGGATCTCCTCTGTTTTAGCTGCTTAGACCAAGCTTTGTTCTAATCCTGCACCGCTCCCCGCTGGGCTTTCCACTGGAGGTCACTCTGCCGGCCAGTCCTGGGGGAGAACCCAGCTAATGATGGAAAGCGAGGACAAAGCGGATTGAGACAGCATGTTCCCACCCTGGCCTCTCAGATATAAAGCGATTCGCTCAGCTCTTACCTGCCCCTATTTTTACCATCAGAAGCTCTTTGATGCCACTTTAGCCATCAATAATTGGCAGTGACTTCTGCAATTAACAGCTGCCTAGAATCAATCCCAAAGATGCTATGCAGGGACCACTTCCAAAAACACAAAAAAACAAAAAACTGCTTGGGGGACGGCTTAGATGCCTACCTGTCCTCTGATCCTTTTTCTCGGCTCCTACAAAACCAGCTGGAAGAACCTGAAATTTGAACCACCCGCCCACATGCCCAGTCCTGACTCTGCAGTAGATATTTGAGGAGTGTTTGGATTGGCCGCCTGATTGATGTGTACCTAGAGGAAGGGTATGGACAGTTCCATGAGAAGTTGCTGTTACCCTGATGATTCATAACCCCTTTCTTATTTCAGACCAAAGACCCCATTGGCAGATTTGGGTAAGAAATCTGGCTGATGGGAAAAGCAGCTGATGCCTGATCACTCCCAAGAGGAGAAGCAGGAGGGAACCGCTAACTGTGATGGGTGCCTCCCACCTTTGCTAGTTTATCTTGCTCCTAGAGAGCGTCAGCAAAGGGGCCCTAGGCGGCTGCACTTCTCACTCAGGCCCTGGGGTTGGGGACACAGACCAAGGCTTTGGTCAGCTTCCCCTAGCTCCTGCTCAGCCTGGCGTGGAGGGAACCCTCCCCTTGCCATAACCTCTGCAGGCCCCACAGTGCTGAAGGCTGTGGGCCTCCATTCGCTGGAGAACCAGCAGATTCTATTTATAGAGACATTCTCCAATCTGAGGAGAGTCTGCTCTGTCTTTCCTCAGCTCCCGATCTGGCTGGTGGAATTGAGGCAAGAGACATTCCCAAGGCAGCAGCAACCCTGGAGGGAATTTGTGGTCATAATGCAGGGGATGGGGAGTGAACCTGGAGCCCAGAAAGCTGCCGGAACCACAGGGAACGCAGGCGTGGATTTACAGGCCTGCCGTTTCCCTCCTGATGCAGCTTGTGCTTTTTTAAATCAGCCTTGGCCTGAGCTATTATTATGGGGCCCGGTGTTTATAGCAGATCGGGAGCTAGCAGAACCTTGGAGATGCCTCTCAGGTGTGTGTCCTGACCCAGTGGTCTAGGAATCATCACCTGGGCCTGAGGGCAAACTCTGTCCTGTCTCCTCTGTGTGAGACGCCTCTGCCTCACAGAGGTTGACTACTGTTGTTGGCTGTGGAGAAAAAAAAAAAAAAAAAAAAAGCCAGAGTTGCTATTTACACCCTGAACTGCAAGCTGGGTAAAAATAGCACTAGCAACTTGGTCCAGCTTCAAACCCCATTGCAGAATAGATTATTTTTGGAAGAGAAAGATTTTCCTCTCCACCCACAGATCTGAAAATGGTCACCTCTCAGGAAGAGAGAAGAGGCGATCCCACGCAAAGGTGAAACATGGCCCCTTTGTACCCGGCCCGGGACAGCAAGGCGAAGCCGGCCTGGAAGCCGTCTCCCCTGACAGCCAGCTGAGGCCCCAGCATGGCGCGTGGGTGACCTAGTTCAAGGTACAGTGAGGATTAATTAACTCTGACGATGGTGAGAAGAGGAGCTGGCTGAACCTCCAAGTTGCTGCTATCACTATGTCAAATTCCTTGCCTTTCAAAATGAAGAAGAAAAAATTGACCAAAAAAGTACATAAGACCCCAAAACAAAAGTTTTGAGACTATGGGTCTGGAAATTACTTTCTAGTCTTCTCAGAATCATTTAGAACAATGGCATGGCTATAAAATGATAAATTCCCATAAACCCAGCCCAGTTCCATCTCTGTATTTTAGAACCCCTAAGAGAACTCTTCCTTAGGTACCGTCAGAACTTGGGACCTGGAGCCATGGCTTAGGAAGTGACAGCCACTCCCTGATATGCTCTTCACTCTGTGAGAAGATTGTTTTGTGTTGTTGTTGAGGTGCCAGGGGCCAGCTCCAGGTAAAAAGATATTCTGAGAAACGCGTGAGTATACGGTTGTGACAGATGTGAAACTCAGAGGAGGCAGACACGTGCATGCGGTTCTCATCACATGGAATTACATGGAGGACATGCAGAAAGCGGCAGAGAAAAGTACTGGGTCAATGATGTCATTCAATTGCTCTTTAATCTGAAAGTGCCCGGGGCTCCCAGAGCCGAGCCCATTAGGTGCTTAATAAATACTTTGAGCAGAGGGAGAAAATGCTCCTCATCCTGCCTTCATTTGAACCTCCTTTTTCAGAGAGCCAGGAACCAAAATGGATCCTCCAGGATGAGGAAACACACTAAGGCATACCTAACCCCAGAAAAGGTGGGAAGGCTACAGCGTACCGCTCTCTGACTCCCCACAACGCCCCCCATCATTGCTGGCCTCTGAGTGACCATGCGATGACCCCTGGGTCAGCTAGAAGTGCACAGGATGGGGATGTGCTGCTCGGGCACACAGGTGGCTGCCTGCAGCCCGCCCATTCCCTGGCATCACACAGATAGAGGGTTTAGTTCTGTTTTTGTCACCTGCTTGCTATGTAACCAAATCACTCCACCTTTTTGACTCTCTTTTTCCCATCTGAGGACAGGATGTCAACACCCTCCTGCTCTGTGAGGTGAGGCGGGCAGGAGGTGGCATATGCAGGGCACGTGTTCGGGGGCCGGAACAAGGAGAGACCATGAACCCAGGTGTCCTAGGCCTGGTTGGGGATCTACGATGCTTCCTCCTGCCACATAATGGTGAGTCTACTAAAAGACCGAGCCCTCAGCTTCCCCCAAAATGCACTGCATTTACAGAGTATTACATCTTTTTCCCACGGTCTGAGGCCCTCATTTGTTGTGTTCCCCGTCCCCACTTCCACCTTTCAGTAGTAGTCACATCCCCAAACCTCATCGAGTTGCCAGAAACAAGATCACCCTATTCGGATGTCTCTACCAGTGGGGAGCCCTGGCCAGCTAAGGCCTGGGTCAGCTCTGGCTTGGCAGCGGAGGGAACCCACAGAAATGTAGCCCTGTGCTGCTTTCCAGGCGCATCGACTGGGGATGAGGTTGAGTCATAGCTATGGAAGCTATTTGCGCTCAGGGCTCAGAGCTTCCCCCAGGACCAGAGAAACACAGCCAAAGAGCCCTTTGATCAGGACTCCTTCGGGTTGCTATTTCCAAAGTTGAGAAATCCAGATACTGCTGACCGCTGCTCAGGATGGAAATGAGCTCAGGTCTGCCTCGCACTGACCTCTCACAGAGGATTGTAGACCAAGGTGGCCGGGATCTTCCCCTCCAGCCTAAGTCAGCTTCCTTCTGAGTCAGCTTTCTTCACCTCCCTATTAATAGCCACCGCTTTGGCCGACTCCACTCGCAGTGTGATTACAGTTTGCAAATACGTCTCGAGCAAGGAAGCAGCACCCTCCCTGAGCGGGTTGTCAAGGGCCCCAGAGAGCATGCTCTGCCCACAGTGGGGAGGCCGGGCTGTCTTCTCCCGCAGAAGGGGAGGCTGCATGGAGGCTGGGAGACTGGGTGATGAGACAAAGACAAACCACTGCTTTGGGGTTTCTGTCCTACTGGGCTCCCCTAGTTTAGGGCTGGAGACTTGCATGCAAGCTGACTATCATTTCACAGGAGCCTTTATTCCCCTACTATTCCTGGCAGGACTGAAAAAGCATGACAGCTGTTCTGTCCAATAATGCAGATCCCTCTGCTACCCTGGATGGCCAATTCTGGGCCAAACTGGGGGGAAGTTCCTTCCCAAGGTCTCAGTGATGACAGTAACAAGACGGCCTACTTCCAGAAGCTCTGACTGTCTGGAAAAGATGAGTGATGTGATCAGTTTGGGCAGGAAAAAACTTTTTCATGCTTAACCTTCCACCCATTTCTCCCCCAGAGAAGCAGACAAGCAAAACGAATTTCAGCACTAGATTCATACTGATAAGCAATGTTCCAGCTCTTCCAGCTCCCAAACGGCTCTCAGTAGGAAGAACATGCCAGCTTAGAAGCTGGAAATCCTGGGTTCAGATTCTGCCTCTTGCCTCTTTACTGAGAAAATTTAGTACACATATTCTACTCTTCTGAATCTCTATCTGCTCCTGTATAGAAGAGGGATAATCAGATAGCCTGAAATCATTTTAATGTAAGTGACATGAGACAGTATGGCCTAGTATAGTGACTGGAAAATAGTATGTCAGCATTAAACAGTCGATTTTCTTTCCAGAAAATAAAAGGTCTGGAAACTTGAGAGCAAACCCACGCCATCCAAAGAGCTCACATCAGTGAGGGGAAAAAGTTCAGTCTCTCTCAATGTGCAGGCTCATTGCATAAACATCTCAGATATGAAGGTTCATAGGAATCAGCAGATCTCTGTTTCCTTCCTGTGGGTTCACACCATCTAGAAATTCCAAAGGGAGGACCATGATGTGTCCTGCGTAGGCCAAGGCAAGGACTCCTGTCCCGTTTACCTTCTCTCCTGACCAGAAGGCCCACCAAGTCTTGCTGTTCATAAAGGGTGGCACTGGTGAGAGCAGATGAGCAAGCGTGAGGAAGGCCTCCGTGTGGTCCTCTGCTGAGCACTTCTCACATCTCAAGGGCTCCCTTAAAAGGATCAGGTCAGGTCACTCAGACCTCCACGCAGTGGCTGCTATCAGGAAGACTAAAGGAAAAACAAAAAAAACCACGTATGCCCTGTTTTATACCCTACAGAGAAAATCTGTCCCCAAATACTTGATGTTAGATGACACATAATCCCTCCACCCCACCACACCCACTGTACTGGGGACTGAACCCAGAGCCTTGCATGTGTCAGACAAGCACTGTCTACTGAGCTACGTCCCCAGCCCTTTTTATGTTTTGTCTTATTTTTAAAATCTTATGAAATTGACCAGGATGACCTAGAACTCATGATCCTCCTGCCTCAGCCTCCCAAGTAGCTGGGATTACACGTGTGCACCACTGCACTCAGCCAGATAATCCTCTCTGTAAGCCAGCAGACTTTCCTCAGCAGACCACTTGGGTGTGGGCGTGGGGGAGGAGGTGGGAGGCTGACTTTGTTCTTGCTGTGGCTCAGCCGCTTCCTTCTTGCTTGCCAAAAACTCCCTTAGATCTGATGGGATCCAGCCAGACCTCTTGGCAGCACAGAGCGGGGCAAGCCCCAGCATGACCTGTCCCCAGGTTCTGGCCCGGCTGGACACTGACAGGGGCAATGTGAGGCAGCAAGAGCTGGGCCCACACTGACAGGCTTTCTCCATGGAAGCAGCCCAGAGTCTCCCTCAGCAGAGGTGAGCAAAACAGCAGGACCCACCACCGGTGGGGAGCGGTCCCTGTTTCCTCTTGAGACCTGTTCCCTGTGGAGACTCCAGCCTGATTCTGGAACTTAGGTCCCTGCCACAAAAACCACCTGCTCAGGCACCAACCACTCGAGTGCCACTCTCTCCTCCAGCACCCCAACAAATAGTGTTTGAATATTGACCTCATACCAGCACTGTGTTCCGGGTTCTTAATACACACTGGAGAATTAAACAGAGAAGGTCTGTGGCCCAGGAGTGCAGCCAGACAATCAGTGTGAACATTAATAAATATATCGCTGCCGACGGTGAGCAGTGATAGGAGAGTTACTCAGTTGGGCACAGTGGAGGGTGAGGATGGGAGCTTGTGTCTGATTTAGATGCAAAGCTCAGGAAAGACCTCTGTAGAGGTGGTATTTAAGGACTTGGATTTTGGTGGCAGCTAATGACAAGGGTCTCATTTTACTATTCAACTAAAAGAGCTCCTAACAGAAGGTGTCAGGAAAGATGATCTCAGCCATCAGTGCAGGGAAAGTCTTCTAGAAGGTGGAGACAGAGACCTTTCTTCTAAGTCCCCTTCTGTGGTCACATTTGCTTCTCTTCCCTGTCTGCCCCACCCCTAGGAATGCATCTGTCCCCTGCCCCTCACCTGTCTAACACACTTGTTGCCCTTCAAGTTTCCTTGATCTTGTTCCAAGGTGTTGTCTTCACTGTGAGGACTTCGGGCAGCATCCTGCTGTGAAGAAAACCTGCCTAGACTCCTGCCTTTGAAAACCACTTTTGTCAGAGACCCCACAGTGCTGCCCTTGAACCTCTAGAAGCCAGTAGTTGTGACCCAACTGCAGATCAAACTCACATTCCTGCTGGGCCAGCAGGCTAATTACAGAGTTTGCTCTCTATAAATCTTTATCTCAAGGTTGTTTTCCTACATTAGCCTTAGCCAGTTGGTATCCGCCCATCTACCCTCTGAGCTCTGAGCAAAGGCTCGCATCCTCAGCACTATTGTGAAAGAGGCCAGACATCAGCTCTGTGAAGCAGAGCTCAGTTTGCATCTCCACTGCCCCCAAGCCCAGCCCTGTGCCTTGGGCAAGTCATGAACCTTGGAGCAGGACACTGCTCCTGTGCCGAGATGAGGGGGAGGATAATACCTACTTCTAGCGTTGGTACCAGAATTAGCCAAGAGGAAGGCCAGATAGGTGGAATGCCGCAGGTCCACAACATGCAGGAGCCTTTGTTTTATATCAAGCTGTTAAATCATCTGTGCAGAACATGGAGAGTATATTTTTTTAATATGCTGTAGTCTTTTACAATGTTAAGAATGATGTCACATTGGGATGTGGTGGCACACACCTGTAATCCCAGCATTCTGGAGGGTGAGGCAGGAAGATCTCCTAGAATTCAAGGCCAGCCTGAACTTCATAGTCTCAAAAGATAGGGGGTGGGGCAAACAAGGGGAGGGGTAAACACAAGGTCCTGAGTTTGATTCCTGGCACACCCCATACCTTCCAAAAAAAGAATGGTGGCGTTGGGCCAGAGATGTAGCTCAGCATGCAATGCCTGTCTGGCAAGCATGAGGCCCTAAGTTTGATGTCCGGTACCAAAAGAGAAAAAAATACAAAGGAAAAAAATAAAACAAAACCTTAAAAAGAATGGTGACTTCAACAGCTGTCATCCTAGCACTCTGGAGGCTGACACAGGAAGATCCCTGAGAGTTTGAAGCTAGCCTGGGTTTCATGGCAAGTTCAAGGCCAGCCTGAACTGCACAGTGAGACTCTGTCTCAAACAAGACAAAATAAAAGAATATCCATGTGGCTGTGAGTTGCAAGGCTGTAGCTGTCAGAGTAGGTAGAGCCTTAAATAGTTTGGATTTTATTCTAATCACCGAGGAGCAGCCAGTTCTGATTTATGAAAAGATCACTGCATTATTCTTGGAAATGTACTATAAGAGACATGAGTCAAAGTAAAGAGACCCCTGCAGGAGGCCTTTGGTGAAGTCCAGGGAGAGAAGAGGGGGCTTCAATCAGATTGTAGCAGTGGAGATGATGAAGATTTGGAATCAATTTGGGGTTAACACACATGGGTATGGATCAGATTAAGGGGGGATAGAAAGCCCAGATTTAAACCTAATAAACTTGAGAAGATGGTGGTTCTGATCAATGAGACAAGACTGTTGAGAGAAAACGTTGATCACATGTCTTTATCCTCCTCTAGAGACCCTGAAGCTATTGGGAGCATCACCTATGATTTTCACAGCTAAACGAACACATCAAGTCTCAGTCGTGATCCATGTCACTTATTCATGGTGTTCTCAGCAGGTGCCCTCCTAGACTGTGGTCCTCGTGAAGCCAGTGCCCTCTACCAAGAGCATGTCCAGGTCAGGAATCTGGCACTCACCTATGTCTCAACTACTGCCTCAGTCCATCCTGGCTGCTGTAACAACAATATCACAGATGGGGAATTTGGAAATAAGAGAAATGTATTTTGCACAGGTCTGGAAGCTGGGAAGTTCAAGTTCAAAGCACCAGCAGATTTGGGCCTGGTGAAGTCTCGCTGCTTCCAAGATGGCACGTAGGGCTGCATCCTCACACAGAAGGCAGAAGGGCGAGGGATTGGGGTGCTCCCTCCTACTTTCGTGGTTGCTTTTTTTTTTTTTTTGCAGTGTTGGGGATCAAATCCAGGGCCTCCCACATGCTAAGCAAGCACTCTGCTACTAACCTGCATACCCAACCCTTCCACCTCTTATAAGGTTACTAATCCCATTCATGAGGGCTGTTTCATAACTTAATCGCTCCCCCAAGGTTGCGCCTCTTAATACTGTCCCACTGGCAATTACATTTCCACATGTGAATCTCAGGGCTCGCATTCCAACCATAGCAACCATGACTAACTCAAGGTGCAATAATCCTCAGGTCCCATACGCTTTTTCTCTCCACTTCTCCTTTTCTCGTCCTCAATATTGTTACATCCCCCTAAACTGCCTGTCTCAGTTCTGCCTTTTCACGACTCTCCAGCCCTTACTCCGTAACTGATCGAGTTAGAAGTAGATGCCGGTCAGATCATACTGTGCTGCTACTCAAAACCATTTAATGGGTGGATGTGGTGGTGCACACTCATGGTACCGGCACTGAGGAGGCTGAGGCAACAGGATCACAAATATAAGGTGGACTATCTAGTAAGACCCAGTCTCAAAAATATAAAAAGCATACAGCTCAGCAGCAAAGTGCCTGCCTGGCAAGCGCAAGGTTGTGAGTTCTGTTCTCAATACCAAACAAACACACAATCAAAAGGCCTGGAATTGTAGCTCAGAGAGAGAAACTCTAGGGTTCAAGCTCTAGTCGTGATGGCAAAGTCCTCTGATAGTTTCTTGGTGTCTGTGACTTCCAGACCAAACTCCTTTGGGGCCCTTCAAGACCCCACCTCAGGGGCTGGGGATTTAGCTCAGCGGCATAAGCGCCTGCCTTGCAAGCAGGCGGTCATAAATTCAATCCCTGGTACCGATAAAAAAAAAAAAAAAAAAAAAAAAAAAGACCCCACCCCAGTCTCTGCACAGTCTCAGCCTCCTTGCCTACTATTTCCTGAGAGCTCTGGGTTCCAGGCACACCTAGGTCTGAGTCCTGGGATTGCTCTGGCCCCTCCACCTAGAATGCTGCTTCCTCCCCTGTGCAAACCTCTGTCCCTGCACACACACACGTGAACACACATGTGCACACACATAGTCTATTTGGTGGTCCCCGCTTGTCCTTTGAGCCCCTGCCCCAGCTGGCCTCCTCTGCAAGGTCCTTCCTCATTCACAATGGCTGAGGCCCCTCCTCCTCTGAGCCTTTGCAGGCCACACCCTGAGAGAATGCCGGCTGGGGCTTTTTTTGTTGTTTTTTTTTTTAATGAAAATCGAACTCATGACCTAGCGCTTGCCAGGCAGGTGCTGTGCCACTGAGTTATATCCCTGGCTCAAGTGAGGGAAGCAGCCATCATGATCTTGGCACCACCATTCTGTACGTGTGCATAAATACTTGTCAAATGAATGAGTGAATGGCTTATTTTAGAGTTTTTTTCTATTTGTTTTTTGAGACAGGGCCTTGCTATGTAGTCCAGACTCACCTTGAACTTATTGTGGAGCTCACAATGGCCTCAAATTCATGGGAACCCTCCTGTGTCAGCCTCCCAAGTGCTGGGATTACAGGCATGTGCCACTGTACCCAGTTGAGTGTCTCACTTATATAAGTTGGGTTTTTTTGTTTTGTTTTGTTTTATATCAGAAATCAAACGTGGGGCTTGCACTTGCACTTGTCGCTGAGCTACATCCCTTCCTATAAATTGATTTTTGAGGTAGATGGCAAAGTCTGGGAAACATTTTGTCCTCATATTTGTTGGATATATTTACTGAAGGATTTTTCATATCACTGAGGCTCTGGTATGAGAAAGAATATGTTATGTTTAAGAATGAAGACTGTAGTTGCTGAGAATGGTGGTAAACGCCTACAATCCCAGCACTTGATAGGCCGAGGCAGGAGGATCACTACAAGTTCAAAGCCAGCCTGTTTGATAAAGAAGAAGAAGGAAGAGGAGAAAAGAAAAAGAAATAAAGACCCTGAAGTTATATTACCTGAGTTTAAACTTGGTGTACTGTCTGCTAGTTGATGGGGTGGTGTCACATGCCTACATAATCATAGCCCTCAGGAGGCTGAGGCAGGAGGATCACTATGAGTTCTAGGCAGGCCTGTGCTACACAGTGAGTTCAAGTCCAGCCTGAACTGCATAGCGAGACCCTGTGTCAAGGCCCCTCCCACAAGAAGTCGCCATTTCATTAAGCCTCAGTTTTCATTGTAAAGCTGCATTAGTAACAGTACCTACCTCAGAGGATTAATGTGAAGGCTAATGAAATGCACATATGAAGCCCTGGTGACTGGCAGGGAGCTTGGTGCCTGCAAGCTATTATTAGTAGCTATTTTTCTGACAGCTTCATTTGACCTCATTGTGTCACCATTGCTTTTTGAAACGGATGTCGGGAATGTTTGTCTCAAATGTGAGCACTTCATTTCATCAGGTTTTACATTTGCCCTCATCCTGGGTCACCTGGATAAGTGAGACTTTGGGGGAAACTGATCCACATGGTGTCCTAAATGAGGAGGAGCCTTTTGCTCGCAAGTCTTGATTTATTGCTTAGAAAGCAAAAGAAAGCATTGCCACCCAGGCAGCAAATTACCCGAGTTCTTCAAAACTCCGCCCTTGTGACCCTGCCACCCCTTGCTTTCCTTTGCATGGGGTAAAAAAGGGACTGGCAGAGTGTGGTGGTGCATGTCAGTAATCCCAACACGTGGGAGGCTGAGGCGGGAGGATTGCTGTGAGTTCAAGGCAAGCCTGGGCTACATAGTGAGTTAAGGCCAGGCTACATCACGTAGAAAGACCCTGTCTCAAAAAGAAAAACAAAACACAAAAAAAGACAGCAGAGCCCCCGTGTAAGAGTGTGCACTCAGCGGGAAGGAAAGCCTTCCTTTCCATTCTTACACAGAGGGAGGGGCTGTCATCTCCCTTTCAGACCTGAGTTTTCTAGCATTAAGCAGCCTCTGGGAGAACAGAATTGTCTCAGCAGAGGCTTGAGCTCTACCCGATTATAAATTGCAAGATTCTGCTGCCAGCATGTATGTCAATGGAGTGAATGGGGCTGACGAGAAAGAGTGAGAAGATTCCCTAAAAGCATTTGGAGGCTCTTCACGTCAAATGACTTTCTTGAGCAACTACAAAATATCACAATTCCAGGTCAAGGATCGAGGCTCCCTCTCCAAGTGCAACCATTTATAATTTTTTTACAAGTAGATGTCTTAGCAATGCCGGCGCCTCTGCCATCTTGTTGGGAGGCCTGGCATTTCTAGCTTGAGGGAGGTTAGTTTGGATAACAGGGCTTCACAAAGGGGTTGATTTTAAAAAGGGAGGTTGATTTTATAATCTATACTGAAAGCAGTAGGTATTTTTTCAAATGGGTTAACCAGAAAAAGTTGGCCAAACGATGTGTTTCCTGTCTGTATGGCTGACAAGAAAGAAGCCTACTGGAAAGGTATGCAGTCCCATGCCAGGTTCCTCCACCCAGGTCTCGCCCTTGCTTTTCTTTATTCATTCTCATCTCCTTGTCTTTGCACAAAGCAAAAGATATTTCTTAAGCTACTGAGGAAATTCACTCTTAATTTTCCTCTTGGGTCTGTACCTCACTAGTCAGAGAGGATTTTTTGGATATTTATCCTCAGGGAGGAATGTGGCCGTACCAATCAGAAAGAAAGTCTACACCTCTAACAGGATGACCGACTGACTGACAGATGACTCCGGGGACCAATGAGCAAGGCCTCGTGCTGGCAGGGGTGCAGAGCAGTACAAGTCTCGTGTGTGGCTGTAGGAATGCAAAATGGCACACCTGGAAAACCCCTGTGTCATTTTCTTATAAATTTAAACTTCCTCTTCCCAAATGATCCCAGCAATTCCATTCTTAGAAATTTACCAAAGAGAATTGAAAATATATACACAACTCACATAAAATCTATCCACAGATGTCAGAGCAGCTTTTTCATAGAAGCCTGAGACTAGAAACCACACAAAAACATTCATCAATTGGAGAGGGATTCTATGGTTCATCCAAACAGAGGAATAATATTTGATAGCAAAAAGCAACAACCTAAAACCAAGTATGGTAATCTCAACAGCAGGCAGGCTGAGCTAAGA